GTCGCCCAGAGTGTTGAATGATGCCTTTTCGATGTGGAATCCGGCCGGCAAACAGGATAATGAAGTAATCTTCTCCATGTGTTTGAGGCCAGCTCCATTGGATCTGCTTGGCCAGCGTGTACAGTGGTTGATCCTGGTTCCTGGTTGAAAGCAAGTAGAATGTCTCGGCCTCGCTTGTGCTCCTCTAAGTCAGGAAAATACCTCAAAAGGTTGATCCGCGGTGATGACCGGGACCTGACCAGGATTCAGGATATCAACTGCCTTCTTGATGACGTCCATGGAGTGGCGAATCATGGCCACGGAGTTGGCCTGATCATAGAAGAGGGGCAGCAATGAGGTAATGGCCACACTGCTTGGATCCACTGGTGCTGATTGCTCGCTGGCGTGGTATGCAGCCCATGACACAGTCTCGTCTCCAGTGAGCGGTGTGTCTGCAGTCACCATCTTCCCCATCTGATCCAGCCACCTGTTGAATGAGACAAATAAAAGAAGACAGTAAACAAGACAGTGGTGGTTAGTTGGTGCAGATACACAGGGCTACTGTCATTGTCCAAACATCAAATACAGCCAGTACAGAATATGCAGAAATATCATTGCGTATTTACCTGTACTCAGTCTTCACTGCTTGAGGCATTAGGTGGCATTTACTTCTGTTGGGACCCGCCAACTTTGGTATAGGTGGGTCACGTTTCCTCAGGAGCAAGGGAGGCACCCTGGTGTATGATTCTGGCAGGTGGTCAACTGTTGTCGCAGTTGTTACAGTGTTGTCTGTGTCCATAATCCGTTGAACTCCAGGGACGTCACTATTCGGGTGTTGGAACAAAGAGATTCCCGTACCATGGAACGAGTCCTGAGCACTTGTCGAGCTGGGGTTGTGGTCTATGTTGTCGACTGCTCCCGTGGTGAACAAGCCACCCTTCAGTTTTGGTGGGCAGACTGCTCCCTCCAACATGAAGTAGCGACAGATGTTGTTCCCCAACGCAGACGAAATGTTCAGCACCCTGTCGTAGGCGATGGACAGACCAAGGCGGTACAGCTCATCAACGAGGTCTCGTCTGCGTGTCTTCGTGTGGATCATCACACCCAGGTACACAGGCACAGGTGTCTCCCTGGTTTGACTGTGCTTGGTAGATTGTACGGAACCGGTGCTCTTGCGACGGTGTGCACAGCTGTTGAACATCAGGAGCTGGGAGATTGTAAGTGTAGGAGCTGGTATAGATGAGTGGCTTGACTGTTCTTTGATATTGGGGCCATTCAAGATCATGGAAACCAGTGCGATGAGTGAATTTGGCACCGACTCTTCCTGGCAGTGAGTGTCAAATGAACCACTGAAGGCAGTCGTCATCTTCAGCATGTCTCTTCGGATCACGTTGGCAGCCTTAGCCAGATGAATGCCATCACTGTCGGCATCCTGCTCACATGCCTTGCGCAGGGCTGATCCAACATCCTGGTTGAAAGCAAGTAGAATGTCTCGGCCTCGCTTGTGCTCCTCTAAGTCAGGAAAATACCTCAAAATTCGATTTTTGAGNTCTATTGTAGGGCCGGTGACTTCAAACTCACTTGACATGTAGCCTAGGCAATTCTATTTAAATACATGCATCAGATGTTTGGAAGCTATCATCACAGTGGGAACACCTCGACTAGAACTATGGGCCTACCTTAGATCAGGAGGGTGAAAAAAATTTCATGGCGTCTCACCTTGTGTGTGCGGCACCTACGTCTATGTAATTTCATGGAGTCATCATGGCTGCTGGACTCTATAATTTAACAAAATCCCGATAGATGGCAGCACTTCCTTATGTGTTTTTTTTAGCTGTTCCGTTATGCCTCATGGTGCCATTATGCCCCACCTTCCCCTACCAGTCTACTTGTATCAGCTAGTAGTGCCAGTGGTACCACAGACTAACGGATGTATCCGTTAGTCTGTGGTGGTACCATACTATTCGTATTCTAGTTTAATTGTCCGTTTATTTATTTCCTCATTATCATTTTTATCCGCACTTTAATACTGCTAGACTTTTCTCTTTCTGATTTTATGAATTGATTTATTAAATGTATTTTGTGTGGGTTACTGGTTTTCCGATCGATGTTTTTAGTTACTCCAAAATGGCCGCGCCCTGTAATGAGTTGTGGTTTGAATAGAGTCTTCGGTGTGTACCGTAGTATTTGGACGCTCGCCAACCGAAATCTCTACATAATACTAATACTGTATGGCGGCACCTACAGTAACACTTCCTAAGAATATCTTATATTATCATATAAGTAAATGGTAATATAGCAACAACATTTTATTAGCTATTCATATGCCAGATTGGCATATTGCTAGTCTACGGAATAGTGTACGTGGTTTTTATTGAAAAATAAACTGTATTAAAACAGAAGAAGATGCAAATGCGAAATGAATCGCACGTGACATAGCACAGGAACATGTAGCTCCAAGAAACGGTCTTGCTATGGTTAGAAGAATAGACAATCTGCAACTGTATTGACAATCAGTCGCACAGCCTCGTCGGCAGTGTTTGCCACTGAGCAGAAAAAGCTGTAGGCCTGCAGGGCCTATAGCTCCTAAAAGCTGCAGGCCCGCCAGAAAAGCTGGAGGCCCGCCAATTTTGGAGCAAATTACAGTAATAAAACAGCATATCATGTTCTTCCTTGTGTTTATTAGTTATTATCAATGTCCATAATCATAATCCCTCTGTTTTTCCTTCCTCTCGTCGGATGACTGTTTATGCTTCTTTGCCGGGGGCTCACAATTAAGGAAACGCCACATCGTTGTTATATGTAGCTCCTTGGTAACTACGACTCTCCACTTTGACAGCAGAGAGACAGACTGGTAGTCTGGTACACATCGGGGACTTCTATGGGGGTCTGGGGGCATGCCCCACAGAAATTTTTTGAAAATTATAAGCTCTGAGATCTATGCAATCTAGATCGCCATTTCAGAGTACTCCAATAGCTTACAACTAGCAACACTTTTTGGTGGAAAAGGAAAAAATTATGTAAAATTTACCTACTAGTACTGTAAAATTTTGATGGGCACTGGGGAATTCCGTCTGTGTTGAGTGTGTCCAAAGTAAATGTATTTTGTAGACATACAAGCTCTTACTTGGGGAAGCTTTTATTTAGCTACACCCTGTATAAAATGTATATAGTTTTTCCAAACGTTAAAAACAATATGACACGGTTAAACCTGAGTGGTGCGACGAGGCTGTACTGCTGTTTGCATGACTAGTAAAGTAATACCACACGACGTGCTTTGCAGCTACAGTGACTTATGTGTGTTAAAACTTGAGACAATTATTATTATTTACTGTATAATTCAACATGATATATTACCTAAATCTTCTTAATATTATTTTAAAACAGTATATATATACTGATCGTTTGTTAACTACCAGTGATACTTTATTGTTTACATCCAAACGTGAAATGCGCGGGGATGTGAGAATTACTCCACAACCTAGCGCACGTGAACAGTGAGCGTGCTGCACGACCCGTGCACGTAAATAAACCCTGGCCAACACAATGTGTAAGGTTCACTACCACTGGCCAAAAGTAAGCTCCACCCACTTCTTATCGATTTTTGGTATGCCAACGCTGCTACTGGATTCAGGAACCTGTGCTAACCTGTGCGTCCGAACATCCCATGCACGTTTCTTGAATGCCAACTAAAGTTGATTGCAGTGGGCAGTCAATAATATGCAGTGGGCGAACGAATTGTTTACATGTATGTCACGGTTTATCACGGATTAGTTTTCAAATAAATACCCCTGGAAGTTAATATGCATGAACAGATTTCTACATGTAAATGTTTCTCAGTGTTTCGAGTTTTCGGTGATCAAATAGCTGTAGGATCAGCGGGCCTGTTGTATCAAGAAGCTGTAGGCCCGGCATCGAAACTGTCGGCGGCGGGCCGACGGGCCGACGTGAATTTCGAACACTGCTCGTCGGGCTAAAGAACATGTATATCAATGACCATGCACGTTGCCATAATCGCAGTGGATATTTAAAGCCCGGCGCACATTGCCGAACATTTTGCTCAAAAACATCGTAGCAATGTTCCATGAAATGTTCGGCAATGTGCGGTGAAAAAAGTTGCCGAACATTTGTTCCGAACAATGTTTCTGAAGATCGGAAATGTTCGTCAATGTGCGCTGAATGTCGACAAATTCTAGGAACATTTGTAAAGTAGTAACCAATAGCAGCACGATATGTGGTCACATGATTTTTGTGTACAATATGGCGTCTGCTATATCGAAGTGTGGACTTTTGAAAAGGAAGAGATTATGGTCGAAATGTGGGGGCAGCAGCCCTGTCTAAAATTAGTAAAGTTGTTAAAATTCTCTTGTGCAAACTGGGCATCGCCATTCACGCCGATAATGGTCGAAATGTGGGGGCAGCAGCCCTGTCTAAAATTAGTAAAGTTGTTAAAATTCTCTTGTGCAAACTGGGCATCGCCATTCACGCCGATCACATGACTCTTTACAACACAGCTACTAGACAGCGCCACGAGGTTGTTTGCTGCAAAATGTTTGGCAGTGTGCGCTCAGCAATTGTTCACCCGCACATTGCCAGACAAAAACATTTGTTCGGACAAACATTTGTTCGGGAAAATGTTCGGCAATGTGCGCTCAGCAATTGTTCACCCGCACATTGCCAGACAAAAACATTTGTTCGGACAAACATTTGTTCGGGAAAATGTTCGGCAATGTGCGCCAGGCTTGACCGTATACGGGAGCGTATCCACTTTTGCTATTTTAATTTTTACCGTACAGTACTTCTGATTGGCTAGAATATTTATGTATGTTAGTATATTATGAATGTATTCAAAAGGTTTCTTATTGGAAACGTGATTCACGGAAAATAGCTTCTATGTCTATGATCAAACGGGGCTACAAATGTGTAGAAATAATTGGGATTTTAACCTAAAAGTTTTCAAGATTGCTAAACCTTATGGGATTCGAACGTAACGTTGATGATGTCATAAATATACTAGCCAATCAAATGTGGTGTTGGTAAAATAGCGGAAGTGGATACTCTGCCGGATATGGTTAAATATCCACTCCCTTCTATAATAACTAGCTTGGGTACCCCGCATTGCCTTGGGAAAAGGAACAACAAAATTATAGAGTTGTAAACAACAAAACTATAATTTTGTTGTTTGTACACAGCGGCGTGCGTGCGGTGCGCTGCAGAGAAGCATTTAGTAGTAGTACTGGTGATTCACAGGAAATTATTGGCAATTGGCGAAAGAGAGTAAAGAAACATTCGGACTTTGGTAGTAAATAAATTGGATCAATCATCAACCTAGTTAGGGACCTCCGCAATGTGTTTTTGTGTTTATTTATCATCATTTTATTATTGAAATGTTCCAAGTGCCCGTGGCTGTGGGATTAAGAATGCTATCAAATTAGTTGTCTGTCATTGAAAATTTACTTCGTTGTAAGCCGTAGTATTGGTATAACTATGAGCCTTATTTTAGCTTGGGCTTAGACTGTTTTCTAGCTGTCTTTGAATTAGTACTATTTTTCTAAAAGAAGTCCTGTAAGTTGTACAAAATTTCTGCAATAGGCCTACATAGCTACTTTGCCATTCATTGTTTTGCTTATTTGCCGTTAAAAGTCATGGCATGAAACCGTTGTTATAATTATTACTTTTACAGATAAGATATATGTGGTCAATAAATTAATCATGATGAACATTCGGGATAGCATCCCACAAGTCAATACAAGTTGTGATTGATTTGCACAACCATTTCACACCATCATGTGTGAGGAGAACTGTGATAAAGGCAAAGGTTTTATAGCTGTGCATGTTGGTGAGTATGTGTCTTATTAATGCATATGCCATGGTGTTTCTAACCCTATACTAGTTACTGTTGCCTTCTGAACTGAGTAGTATTGTTAAGGTACTGTGCAAGCTTTACTAAAAGTACAGGTAGGATGGTCCTAGCTTGAAGAAGACTTGCCTCAAAAGGCTGATTAATGTTAGACCTGCAGCCTGGGCGGGCCAAGATGGTCAAACTACAGTCCTATTGGCCGCATTCAGCCTGCATTCTGTATGGCCCATAAACGTTCATGTGAAAATTTTCATTTTAATGGTTCAATAATCATCAAAAATGCAATAATATTTTTTGGATATAAAATAATTTAATATTCAATATTTTAATGATAAATGTTTTCAGAAGGGTTGTGATGTCCTTGACTGGCTCACCAATGTAGCTGTAGAAATATTAATAGAGTATCTGTGGTTATAAACATTTATATGGTCTTATAACTTAAAATTATCAAGCATAGTGCAAATTTAGCTCATATTGGTAAGCTTAGATCTTGTATCCATGTGGCCCAAAAGATTGAAGATATTGAACTACCCTGGCTAAGACACTGGTTTGCTTTTAACTAATTGTATTCTTTTGAAAGTTTAATTAAAGGTTACAATGATAATGGCACTGTAATCGCATCCAGTGTTCATAATATCTATTGAAAGAAAGGATCTATCTATGTCGCATGATTCTTCATCATAGATTTACAATTGGCAAGTTACGTAAATGTGATTTATTTTCTCTCATTGTCACAGTGTTATTTTGTTGCAGGGGCTGGTTATCATTCAGAAGAGAAGAAGTCTAATTACAAGGAGGCATGTAAAGAAGCTCTGCTCCATGTCAGTATATATAACCTAAATTGCACATACATCCATAAATATCTGTGTGGCATGTAAAGCATTGACTTTGGATTGATATGTCGCAAGTTTGTTGTTACCTCCAAATGTCCAATCTTGCTATCTGTCTATATAATTATGTTATCCCATATTGTAATCTCTTAATATTGCAGGGTGCGAAATTAACCTTCTTTGACTAGTATAGTCATGTAGACTACTAGATTTTGTAATCTGGTAGTCCATGAGCAATTCTTGTAGTTCAGTATTTTTGTGAATATGTAATAAAGAACACTACTTTTAAGTAAATTTGCTAATTGGTAGTTTAATTTATTTAAAAAAAGTTCCAGGAAAGAGATATCATTTAAATTATCAGTTTATTTATCCATGTTAGTCAAAACTGACAGTGCTAAGTTGACGCTGACAGTCAAGTAATCCACCGGACTAGCTCTTGTTGCAATCTACTCATCCGTCTGTAAGTCTGCTAGTTTCGGACAAACGGACTACCGTTAATTTCCAACCCTGATACTGTTGAAATATTTTTTTAACCCAATCAGGTTGTTATGATCTATGTACCAATAAAATGTGCTGTTCTATATTTTCAGGGTATGAAGGCATTACAGGAAGGTAAATCGGCTATAGATTCAGTCACTGCTACTATCGTTGCATTGGAGGTTAGTTACAATGTCGTGTAACATGTAGAGTTATGTTATATAACATCACAATTTATGATCAGGTGTAATCAATGTAATAGTTTCTATTATTATTTCTTCAAATGTCAGAATAAATAGTTGAATCACAAGGCAGTAAGAGGGTTGTTATAATACTGTGTAACAATGCATTGCAAGTTGAGACTAGTAATGGTTGCTACACCACGTTATTAGAAATTTTTATGTAACTTATATAAAAGAAATGTGTTTTTCAGGATAATATTTGGACCAATGCAGGCAGAGGTTCTAACCTAACAATACAGGGAACAGTGGAGTGTGATGCGGGACTCATGGATGGGAGGTCACTAGGATTTGGTGCCGTAGGAGCCGTACCAGGTATACTTGTGAAAGAATGGGAATTTGTCGTTTTTGTTGAAGGCTGTGAGAAATCTGATATCTGACCTATAGTTTTATATAATGAAGCAATATATAATTTGATAGCATTCCTATTTTCTGAATTTGCAATATATTTTAATAACATTTCAAAAATATTTGCAGATATACAGAATCCAGTGCTGGTAGCCCGGAAGTTGTTAAGCCAACAATTAGAAGGCAATCTCTCTCTAGGGCGTATTGCCCCATGGTAAGAGCCCGGTTAGTTACCTACTCATGAGTGTGGTATTATGATGGTGGTGACGAATGTACAGTCAAATCTCTATATAATGGTCACTGAAAGGTAAGGACAAATGTGGCCTGTATGGGCAGCTGGCCATTCTATAGAGATGGTTTTACTATGTAACTGCCACTCATGGGAATTGCAAAAAGTGGTCTTTACGGGAACGTGATCATTTTATTGAGGTAGCCGCTAAAAATGTTCGACCATATCACCGAAAGATTATGGAAAAATTTCAAGTTATTTGTGTCGTCATTCGTGCAAGACAAACTCAATCATATAGACAAATAACCATACATCAATAGTTGAATCATTAAAGTTGATCGTGTAATTTTTATGTGTAAACGTGTACTTACAGTTTGATGGTAGGTGCAGGTGCAAGAGACTGGGGGATGGATCGAGGTATACATAAATCAACTCCAGATGAACTGATCACAGGTAAATAATCCGATTTGTGCTATATCAGGATTGAATAAAAACAACTTTGTTTTTATTTACTAATGACATGGTGCGAAGTGCATATGGCTGTTACATCAAGGAATGGGTAAACACAAGGTAGCTATCAAATTAGTAAGAAGGTTGTAGTATTAGCGATAATTAGTAATGAAATAGGAATCGGATGCAGCTATAGCACAATAGTAAAGGCGATCATTTTTGCGCAATAGAAGCATCTCGGTTCTAAATGGCTTTCTATACAATATTCATATTTTGTGTGTAGAGGGGCAGCTTACTAAAACGTTGGTAGGTTGTAACTGGATGTCAAAGGAATTTAAGTAATTTTGCAAACAAATGCCTCCGTTACAAATCTAACCATTATACCTATGCTTTTATCTTTGGCATAAAGAGGGGGGCATCCTCAGTTCGAAAATAATGGGATAGGTTAGATTGTTTGAGGGTGTGGTTCGATAGATGTAGTACGAAACTCCGATCAGTTTAGTGCTTACCATCCATAATCTAAGATGTGCAGTACGAGACTCAGTTAGGTTTAGTGATTACCATCTATAATCCTAGATGTGCAGCATGAATTGGCATGTGTGACAGTTGCACCAAACGCTGCAGTTGTTGTTCTTGTTGTATCAGTAGATAAGATGATCAGTTGATGACAGTATTACTAGTTCTCAGGCGAGTACTATTGCACTGCCAAACTTGTTATTATGTAAAATACTCTGATAAAATTAAATACTAATGTGTAATAACTTACTGTGTTAAATATCTTAATACTTATCTCATGTTGCTGTAGAGTATGTAAAGCTGTTCTGTAATTAATTATTTGACACATTGTATCAAAACACCTATTATTGTAGAACAAAGTCGGGCCACATATAAACGCTACATGGAGAGACTAGAAGCAAGTCAAGCAAAGCGAGCAAGAATGGTAAAGTCTATTACACTGTTTTACTCTGTGCATGGGCTCCCACTTGTCGGGCAGTCGAGTCATACAGTGCGTCTACGTCTTCTGAGCTGCTTGCTCTGATTCATGCGCGCGTTCCTGTATGCGTGCCTGGGCATGTGCCTGTGTGTGTGCGTGCGTGTCTGCACACATACCTGCGCGCGTGCATGCATGCCTGTGTGTGTGCGTGTGTGCCTGTGGGCGTGCCTACGTAGACCCATAGAACGGTAATCCATGGAAAATCGTAATGAAATTCACACGTTTATTTTTGCGTGCCGGCACACTCGTGTGTCATTCCCGATTGTAGCTTTTTCCTCAATTCCAGGAAAGAGTTTTGCTGTCGCTCTCTCATAGTCCAGCGGTGCCCACCCCCTACATTTCAGTAGTGATTAGCACCACGCGACTGAAACAATCGTGCCCCCCCCCGTACTTCAATCAATTCCGCCTCCAGCCAGCAGACACGTATGCAGCGTCGATGTGCACAGCCACAGACGCGTGCCTCGCGGGCCGCTTGTTTCGGCAACCTTTGAAAATATAATGTTGTGCGATAGCGTCCTGGCTCAAAGGTAGGAATATTACACAACTAGAAATTTTTTAGTTGTCCAATCGGGCAACTAGCCAAACGAATAACTTGTCCGACATAGACTTTCACTTGTCCTGAGCCTCATATCAATATCAGCGTTGGTAACCTGCGAGTTGCGAGTTGCGAGTTGCGAGTCGGGTACTGGGATAGTAAGCATTGCCAGATATTTATCATTCGCAACTTGCGTTAGTAAGTCAATGCTTAACTATTAACTTAACCTCAACGCTTAACTATTTTTCCCGTGAATTACCTGTCGTAAAAAAGGTTAAAATACTAGGTTGGCTGTTTGGGCCAGCTGTCCGTACCTCTAAAAAAGCCCTAGAGTCGACTGCTTGATCAGCAGAAATGTCACCTATGTTCAACTGGTAACATCCCAGTTGGCCTACTCCCATTTCGCCTATATCCCATTTCGCCTACTCCCATTTTGTCTACTCTCAGAATCGGCAATATTCCCATTTCGCCTACTCCCGTTATGCAGTGGCTGATTCAGAAATGAAATCTGGGGGGGGGGGAATCATGCGAGCTCAAGGGCCCCCTGGCTATGCGCCTGGTCGAAACAGCCTGGCCCTGGTTGTTCAAAAGTGGATAGCGATATCCACTGGATAAATCACTATCCAGTGAATACGACTGAATTATCAACTTTTGAACAACTGCTTCAGTCCTGGTCATTAAGTGTCTTAATCCAGTAATCCATGTTTTTAAAAGACCCAAATAGCATTTCTTTTCGCCAGTTTATAAACCATATTGCTGTAGGTTTTACTTTCGTTGCAGTATCTTTGCCGTAAATTTGGTATGAAGAAGTTTTTCTCATCCATTTTTTAATTAACAACTCGCAACTCTCAGCTCGCAGCTAGCATGCTACCCACACTCTATCAATATAGTTTCACTTTATAGTATATTTATTTGAATTTTTCGCACATTGCTTTATAACATTTTACTGGTTACATTCACACTAGTATACAAATTGAACAATGAAAAATGACTCATCACTCATGACTCTTGACCCAAATTATTTTGAAATATAGGTCATAAATTTTGTGCAAAAATGCTCCAAAATAAGGCTCAGATTGCATCAGAGAGCAGGGAGCACCTGGACCCCGGCCGCAAGTGACTACATGCTTCACGCTCGTGATGTGCGCTTGGCGCACATAATTTCAAATAATATCTAAAGTACTCCTCTAAAGTTCCCAGTTTTACATGTTTGAATTTTAGGTTGTGGACCACCCTGTAACATGAATGCATTTCAGACATTATTAAGCTTTTCAGACTATGTCAGGTAACAAAGACAGCATAGGAGCTAGCTGTGAGGAGAAAAGTTTAGATACTGTTGGTGCAATTTGCTTGGATTCACATGGAAACGTGGCAGCAGCAGCCTCCAGCGGTGGAATATCCCTCAAACAGATAGGAAGGGTCGGGCAGGTATTGTAAAACGTTTTATACTTTACATCATAGCTTCCAATTAAATATTTTCGTGATACAGTGAAACCACGATTTTACGCGCCCCGATTTTACGCGATGAGTCAGTGGGCCTTTATTTTGCTCTTTCCGTAACTGAAAGGTTTTTTGTTGAGTTAAGCCGGCCTTAAGTCGGATTGTGATTGAATGCGACATGGCGCGATGCATTGCAACTCATTGCAACTGAGTGCTTGGGTCGACAGTGACGAGCAGCGACTGACACTAGCAACATTGGATCAGTTTTATACGCCGATTTTCTTGAACCCCGATTTAGCGTGACCCCGCTTTTTTAATGATGACATTTTATGGACCTCAATGGTCTCATTATAACGGGACCATACTGTAATAGTATACAGCTGCCCCCGTACCACAATGATGGATACGTATACATTTCACAGGCAGCCTTGTATGGGTGTGGATGCTGGGCCCAAAATGCAGATGATGGCCTGCCTGGTGTTGGTGTGGCAACGACAGGTAAAATTAAGCAAACTTACATTGACCTCTTAACTAAGGTGGTTAAACTTTTATATGTTGTTTTATAGTATCTCGTTTAAACAAAGAATCTATAGTGAATATATTCTAATTTATTTAAAATTTCTGAAATTGTAAGTATTTATCTTATGCACAAATTCATAGTTCACTATCTACAGAGCTGACTTGTAACTTTTTAGCCATGTCTCACCATGACCTCCATATCTGAAGTAATCTTATTTTATTCCACTATAACCATAAGTATCAATTGATATGAGCACCAAAATTTTCTTGCTTATTGAGATATATTGTAATGAAGAAATCAACATTTAGCTGACTCTTTGAAGGGCAAAGGGGCACTGAACTTCTAATGTTCGTCTATCAGTGAGAATGTATATTTCATTGCCCTTTCAATAAATTAATAAAAGTGCTAAAACTAAAATTTAAATTTGAACTAAGTCTCTAATTGCATGGGTCACACGTACCACATCTTCAAAATATTTGTAATCTGTCATGTTACTTGTTGCTGATAAGCCTTTGACCTGTATTTTCACACCACACCTCATTGTGAGCTAGCAATAGCAACACCATTTCTATGCCTTATGTTAGGAAGGAAATTGCATGTCTGCACCCAGAGCTGAGTGTTGACCTCCAGCTCCTACTTGTCATACTGACGTTATCTTTTCAAATTGCCCCCTACATGCCACATGTGAAAGATACATAAGATACATTTTATTATTAGTCACCACATTGCACCCTCAACGTACTGACAACAGTGCTATATAATTACATTATTTCGCATACAATGTGGTGACTAATGATAAAATCAGGATAAAATGTATCTTGGTGTTATAATTTTGGTTCAGGCTGTGGAGAGCAACTGGTCAAAACGTTATTTGCCAGAGAGTTGGCTACTGCTGTCATCTCCAAGGAAACTATTAGTGATGCTACAAGTCATGCTTTCCAAAACAACTTTCTAGGTACATTATCAATCATGTAACATGTTATCATTTCATTGAGTAGGTTATATTTATAATTTGTGTGCTCTTTAAATGGCATGTTTCTTGTTGATGTGTTTACAGTCATCATCCTTGCGACTCTTATTGTTTCACAGTGGTAGTGAAGTGGTAACCTTTAGCTAATGGTTATTGATTAATTAATCTAATATATTATCCATCTAATAGTAAATTATGAATTTGTGGTGTGCATGTGTTTCATGTATACTCATTTTTGCAGGATCACCGTTTTTAAAGGATGTGCAAGAGAAACAAGGAGGGGCTTTGATACTTAAATATTGTCTATCTGGTGGCAGTGTAGAAGGTTCGTACCAATTCTCTTTGATTTCACTAGTATATATATGCTGTAACGCCAACGTGTCAAGCTAGTGGGATGTAAATTATAATGTTTTTGTGTATTGATTTATTGAAAGTACATTGAATAATATTTAATAAAGTAAATATTATTTAGACAATTTATTATTCGTTTTTATGGATGGTGTCATTGATTGTACTGATGTTTGCAGGGATAACAAAAGTTGCAGTTTTTACATTTATTTCTCTACGTTTTAGACCTGGATAAAAGATACATTATTGTTAACCTTGCATTTCAGACGTGGAGTGTATATGGGCATATACCACAGACAGCATGTGTGTAGGATACATGTCTTCACGAGACTCCAAACCCAAGGTACATCATAGCAATATCAGGAACTTATCAATTATTATCAAGCATACTACAATGCAGTGTGAAAACCATGTCGTAGTTAACAGAAGTTTGTCGTTTTATTTATGCTCTTCCTTATAATTTTTGTATGCTATTCTTATTTTATTACTAATCTGCAAAACTTTATTAGTGAGAGACTAACAACTGACCCTACCACATTAGTGAAAATATTACTTTATATATACTCCTCAATTTCTGAACTGTAAGCCGAAATGGAGGAAGGGGTTGACTCCCATTTTTCTGACCTTTGAGAAGGATTGCGTTTCTGTCGTTTACTTATCAGATTAATGACCGAATATCATTCTAATAAAGTAGTCCAATCTCTAAAGGTAGTTCACAAGTGCATATTGTTATTTTTGCATGAAATTATTGTTAGTGTAACATTTGTGTGGTGTGGTGTATGGTGTGGTAGTGAAGAATATTAATAATGTTCAAAAATATGTCTCATGTGGTATGCATGGGTATATGTATTGTCTACTAACAAATCGGTCAAAATGACAAACATCAATAGAAACCATCACGATTTGTAGATTTTGTCACTGTGCGCTTTATAATTTACGGGCAGCCATTCTGCTTTGGCATGCTAATTAATTGAGTAATTATCATTAACCATACATACATGATATTATACAAGAACATGTTTTGCCACAAAAAATATCACAAATTGCATTAAATGTAAGCATGGCTGTTTTATTTTTACAGACTCATCTCTCTAGGCTGCCTGAACATCTACAGTGTGGCAAGTCTGTTGTGATAGAAGGTGCTAAGGTGAACTTATAGCAGGTGTGCAATGATGCAAAATGTGTTTGGTTGTTTGAATGAGTATATTGCATTAAATTTCTATTGTAACATAATAACGATGTGTAAGTAAACTTGTTGTGACATGCATGCGACCCTTTATTCATGGTAGGGCGATAAATGTGACAGTGATAAATCTGGCAAGGTGTCATGTCATGACTATATGTTCGTGTCCCGAGGACAGACCCAGTATGTTCGGAGATGTAGTACAGCTGAAATGTCAGTTTGACATTTACATGTGCTGCGAGAGTACATGTAAATTCCAGTCAGCCATACAGTTGAAAAAAACTATTAATTCATGTGTGCAACGTCAATACGTTGCCAAATATAGGCAACTGTGCTTTGAGCTAACCATTAGAAACAGCATAAATGCAAGCCCTGTTCATCAGCAGTGGGCAGGATTCTGGGCCAATCTGACAGTTCCTGAGACGATCTAAATGCTAGATTGTGCCCCTTTAAGCAAAAAGCACCGTCCACGTTTAGTGTGCATAAGTGCAAGTACATGGCAGAACTGTTGAAAACCACACAATCATTTCTATTTCAACACTTGAGTCATAGAACACGGTTATATATTTCACATGTGTGATAATAGAAATTAATACCAATTATTAATTTACTCTATGCAATCTCGGACTGATATACCACACGACTTAGCACATAGGGAATTTTGTAATGATTTGCAATGCAATTAACTGAAGTTTACTAAGCCAGACTTGATACAACTTGAGCTTATCACATAAATCATTATCATATTTGCAAAGCCATTATATGAGGCTAGCTCATCACTGGGTTGTTCAAATTCTTGTCACAGGGTATTCCAGCTAACACATGCCTAAAAGGTACTGAAATGTATCAGCATAACTATACATGAATTAAATTAACAATCGAAGGGCCTTTAAGCTAAGCTATCGATATATTTATCTCCTAGAGGCTGACGCCATGCACAACAGTTAAACACTTTGAATACTGAATGGCATTTTCATCTAGGATTTCTCATTTTTGATGTAATGTTCCACTCTGTCATATGATCAGGATTGTAAATAATTATTTTGTAATAAAATGTTAACATATGTAACAATCATATGTGCACAATTTGTATTGCCTATCTCTTTCACATACCGCTTGTCTAAGAGAATGGTTGATTAGTATATTGGAAATGAGGGATCTACATGTTTTGACCAGGCATGTAATCCTCCTATGATATCCTTGATTTCAATGTCATCATTCTTGAACTGCTGCTGTAAGTGTCTCACTGCCTTTTGGGAGTCGTTGCCACGGTGACACACTACAAATACTGGTTAAACAAGAAAGATTCATAATTAATGATGTTATAGTTTCAACTAGTTTAACAAAAATTTAGCTCTAATATATCAGTCTTCTTTGTGCACTGTGTTAAAACTAAAACATTATTTAGTGATAGATATCACTTGCATTCACGCAACCACCATACCACTAACACCAAGCCATATATGGATTTGGACACTCACATGCATTGGAATTGCCATCTAATAGCACTTTCTGCAGTTCTTTCATTCTGGATTCCTTCTTTAAATCTCCAATTGGAATGTCTGGGTAAATTTAAGGAACCTATTCCTATGCAGGTAAATTTACATGAACAAGCATCCAGAAAACCGCCACCAAAGCAGGAGGCCGGTTGTCAAAATTATCCTAGTGTGAGGACACAAGTTGGGACTATGAAATAGTAGTAAGATACAATAACCACACTGACAGAAACATACTCTCACTTTGCTGCTAAATTAGGACACGTGAGAACTTGGTAATTGCTGTACTAAAGTCGTTTATTAGATGAGACACTAGTACATCTCTTTGATAACGGTCGCTACGATATAGGACTGTTCTAAAGTTACGGATTTTCTAACAAAACTAGGGCTGGAACTAATCTTCGGACTAATCGTTCTAGCAATGCGTACAGGATACTATAAGAATTGGGCAGTTGGCAGATGTCCATTTCTACTTGCAGCCTAACATCCAGTAGCATGTGATCTTCTTTTCTTTCCAGCATTGCTTTGTACTCCTGATAGAAGCAAACACAAATAACATAAAGATAATAATGCAAATTATTCTTCATTGATAGATGGGAAATTTTAGTTGTGTATTTGAGATGTGGAATCATGGGGAATCATTCTTTGATTCAACCATACATGATCCGTGGATTTTATTTTAACACAGGTCTTTATATCTATTGTTTAAAAGGCACTTTAGAACCAAACTGAGCATAGTAGTATAGACTATGCCTGACATTATTTAGATTCGACACTGGGTTAATTTCTACATTTGGCTACTCTTGGTATGGCAGTAAGAAGTAATCAGTATCTTGGTTGCCTGGAAATTACATTTCCAACCTATATTTAAAATATAATATCAGGAGTAGATAATAGGGATCTACTCCTGATAATATGTAACATCCAATAATAGTAAACATTCTCTGCCCCATGGCTCATTCATATGGAAAGGCCCAAATAACTAGTTACCTTGGCAGAGATGCGTTCATCTTTATTCAGCAGGTGGAGGCATCGTTCTTTGTCTGTTGCACTCGTACCACAAAACTGCTCGTAATCAAGTAGCTGCATGATGGCCGGATTACGGCCACACACATTACAGCTGTCTTGCCTACCACGAAGTTTTATGAACCTCATGCTGCCATCTAATCCGTCAAACAACATGAGACGCTGTGAGAAGCTCGTGTTGATTCCAGCAGCCATTTTAATTGCCTCTAGGGCTTGGAAGCTGCCTATGATGCCTGGCACTGTAAGTGTGGAGGTGTAGTTTAATATGACAGCTTGATATATATGGAAGTTAAAAACTCATATGGTTTAACTTATCGCACCATAGTGAATCAGCCAAGTAACTTGAAAAATTAAAGAAATGAATTAAACATTTAGAGTAGCATGCACGTATTCATCACTAATTAATTATAAATTATTAAATCATTAAAATTAAAAATCAAACACCAGCTACCTACCTACTCCTAAAACTCCACCATCTGAGCAGTTTGTGACAGTCTCTGGAGGTGGAGGTATGGGATATAAACATCTGTAACATGGTCCACCTTTCCAGCCATATACGGTCAACTACAAGATGTACAGACATTATAAGCATATTAGTTCACTGGTAGTCCCCCTTCTATATTGAAATTTAGAGATGTATGCCTGTACCTGATAACATCTGATAAATATAATAAATGTTACCTGTCCTTCCCATCTTAGAGCACTGCCTGATACAAGAGGCTTACTGCACAGCACGCAGCAGTCATTCAGTAGATAACGAGTAGCAACATTATCTGAGCAGTCCAAAATGATGTCATATTTCTCCACTAATTGTCGGGCATTGTCACTGTTCAATGCAAGGTGATATGCATTGCAGACGGTGGTTGAGTTGAGGCTGGGTAGATAACAAAGGGACACATTTTAATAATACTGCATATCTATTTGCATTTAACGATTCTATAAGTACTGTTTACAATCGTGAGTAATTTACTCTATCTCAATGCATACATTTTATAAATAAATTCTACAGAGTGAAAAGTGTAGTCGATAACCCTTGTATACTTCATTGTGTGAATTACTTTTATATATATTAGATATAATAACTTTTTATACTTCTCTTAAGTACCTGTGAATCGCTTCAGCAATTGAGGTTGACTTTACCCACCCAATCCGGGCTTCTGTGTGCAAAATCTGTCTGTGTAAATTACTAAGTTCCACTTCATCATAATCGACAATTCCTATGCAACCTGAGTAGGTAGGTAAGTAACTATAAGTAACTGTGAGTAATTATCAAAACTATAAGTGAATCCTCCTATTTGTATCAAGCCTAAAAGTTAGTTTCATTTTTTGACTGGGTGGCAAGATAATGGTAGATAAAGGATAATAGAATATTAGCTTTCATTTTATACCATTACCTAATTAGAAGATTGATCCTTTATATCAAGTGATTTTCAATGTTAGATTGTAAAATCTCTAGGTATAGGCATGCAGTATTACGTCAGGGGGTTACAGTAAAAGAGAATATAGATCCACTAGCCTATTCCAGCTGCGGCAAGATAGATTGCAGCAGGACAGCCCAACCCTCCAGCGCCAACAAGAAGAACTGATGATTGGCGTAATCTTTGTTGACCTGCGTACACACATGCATCAAAATAATTATATACCTTGCAATAACATACAATTAAGCTAAGATATACTATGAATATGATAATAAATATATTAATGTCATCCTGTATTGTTTCTATTCAAATCAGTTTAACATTAAAATCATTTAGATTAAACTTGTATTTAATTATTTTTTATCAAATAAATTCTCATAGAGTTCCTTTTGGTTTCTGTTAGCTCCATCTATTTAGGTCAGTTGGGCTAACAACTAGTGTGGTACTCTAGTGAAACATACCTTTTACTCCTAGTTCTGGCAAAATTAACTGCCTGCTATAACGTGCAATTTCTTTATTAGATAAGGCTCTTGAGTAATATCCTCTTGATACAGACTCTGGAACACCACACTTGCGGCCATCTCCGTCACACAATGAAGAGTTTAGCCTATCCTTATCCTCTATTGTAGAATTGTTGTGCTATTAAAAATATTGAAGTATGTTATCAGGTTAGATCAGCCAGGGGTTAGTGACCAGCAACTTTCAGGGTGTCATGATTCCCAGATATGGCTCATTTAAGATTGATATCGTTATGACTGTTACTATGAGCTGCTATTTTAGGGATTTCTGATTGACTGAACGACTGATTAATTGACATTTTAAATTTTATAGTTCATCTAGCACACAACCTACATAATGAACTTTGCTAACTCCACACTCCACCCATGCCACATTTCTGGCAGAAATATATGTGCTTTCATTGTAGAATAAAATGGAAGGGTCCACAATGTGTTAAGGATACTGTTAGGGTTGGGAGGTGATTTTCGGTCTAAATTTCAATACCCACTTTATTTGATAGATCGCACCCATGGGCAGCTATGTATACGTAGAAATTATGTATGTAGCCTCCCAAACAGTTTCAAATCCCCGCATTAGTCAATTCTTAACACGGGCCTTCAATCATGGGAAATTTAGAAAGGTGCTAATATCTCCATTGTAAGAAATGCTGAAGTTGCTGATATAATTTGAGGGGATGTCATCTACCCTGTTAGTGTGTTAAGTTATTCGGCAAAAAATACTTGATTAATGCATTTTTTTACCCCGACATTCTACTGTAACATTTATGCCCTGCCACCTTTGAAGGAAATTCAGTTTGTCGGAGGTCAACAAGTTGCATAATTAATAGGTAGGTTGTGTGCAGCTGCAGGGTCACTAGACACTACCCAAAACTTGTATGTAGCATACAGTATGTTTTATGTATAACTGCATGATCAATGTGAAGTTACAGACTAAAGGAGGGCTTATGTCGGGCTTGCGAGCCGACTCGACTGGAAGCAACTGGATTTCGAGCAACTGGAAGCGATCGGCAGCGACTAGTTGCATCCAGTTGCCCACTGTTCTATTCCGAGCAACTAGTGGCGGCCAGTCGCAGGCAGTCGCGTCGCAGTCGACCGACCTAAGCACTGCAGTCGCAGTGAATTGCAGCCAGTTGCTTCCAGTTGATTCGGCTCGCAAGCCCGACATAAGCCCCCCTTTAGATTAACAAAGAGTATGAGTTGGAGCACAGGCACTTGGAACGGTTCAATACAACAAGTGCCGCAGAGCGACAGCGCTCACCTGACGGCAGGTGTTCTGATGCTAAACTCAGGGGCAAACGAATCAAGAGCACCCTCCCATCGCTGCGTTCGCTCTCCCTCGTTGTCTCTCATTCTTTCTCTTTCGCTCTCTCGCTCTTGCTATCTCTTCCCTTCGCGCTCTCTCTCTCCCTCTCTCTCTCGCTCGATCAGACTCTCGCTCTCTCTCTCTCGCTCGATCACACTCTCTCTCTCTCTCTCTCTCTCTCTCTCTCTCTCTCTCTCTCTCTCGCTCTCTCTCTCTCTCTTTCTCCCTCTCTCCCCACTCTCCTTCTTCTCCCTCT